CCTTGGGATATTTAACAAAACCATGAGAACTATATAAAAAAAAACTTTTAAAACTATAGGATAAAACATTCAAACCGTTAAGTTCAAACGGTAATTTAATTTGTTACATATCATGGTCCCCAAATCAGTGCTGTCTGTGTCTCTGTGTTTGGTGAAAGAGACAGAGAGATGGAGGTTTCAATTTCACGGTAGATTTGATGTTAACTGTCCCCGACTTGGTATTATCTGTTATGTAATTGACCGCCTCTGATTTTTTATTTTTATTTTTTGATTTTTTTGTGTGATAATTTTGTAGGAGCTGGGGAATACTATCACTAACCATAGCCTACTGCTGGCAACTTTACACCCTATGGATTCTGGTTCAACTTCATGAAGCGGTGCCAGGCAAAAGGTACAACAGATATGTGGAGCTTGCTGAAGCAGCATTTGGTAAGATTTCCTTACAAACTTCCCAAATCAAATAACATCTTTCATTCTTATAGGCTGCAATATATTGTTGTTTGATACATTGTTAGAAAGTATTCTTAAATCTCCGAACAGTGCTTCTACTCGTGGTTGGTAAAAGGATTTTGGTCTATGATTTTCAGGGGAAAGGTTGGGAGTGTGGCTTGCTGTGTTTCCTACTGTCTATTTATCAGCAGGAACTGCTACAGCCTTGATTCTTATAGGAGGAGAGACAATGAAACTTTTTTTCCAAATTGTTTGTGGGCCACTCTGTTCATCAAATCCTTTGACAACAGTGGAGTGGTACCTTGTGTTTACATCTCTCTGTATTGTTCTTTCTCAACTGCCAAACCTCAATTCAATTGCTGGACTTTCCCTTATTGGAGCTGTGACTGCCATCACTTACTCCACCATGGTCTGGGTCCTCTCTGTTAGCCAGCAGAGGCCTCCGACGGTCTCGTACGAACCCCTCTCGATGCCATCGGTTTCTTCTTCCGTCTTCTCTGTCATGAATGCACTTGGAATTGTAGCCTTTGCCTTCAGAGGTCATAACTTAGTTTTGGAAATTCAGGTATGGAGTTTGTGTTTCTTTCTAGACTCGATACCGTTCCTCAAGTTGCTCGTTATCCAAATTGTGTTTGTTTTGGTGTCTCTCAGGCAACAATGCCTTCAACTTTTAAGCACCCTGCTCATGTTCCCATGTGGAGAGGAGCCAAAGTTGCCTATTTCTTCATTGCAGCTTGCCTGTTCCCAGTTGCTATTGGAGGATTTTGGGCATATGGGAATCTTGTGAGTATCAATCACTGGCAGTTTTTAGTTCTTCTCGGCGAGATTTGAAACAATCGTATTCACTTTTCGATTCGTTTCTGATTTGCAGATGCCTTCGGGAGGGATGCTCAATGCCTTGTATGCATTTCACAGCCATGATATTCCCAGAGGGCTTCTTGCCATCACTTTCCTTCTAGTTGTATTCAATTGTTTGAGCAGCTTCCAAATATACTCGATGCCCGTTTTCGACAGCTTCGAAGCAAGCTACACAAGTCGCACGAACCGCCCTTGCTCGATCTGGGTCCGTTCTGGTTTCCGTGTTTTCTATGGATTTGTCAACTTCTTCATAGGAGTAGCACTTCCTTTCCTCTCCAGTTTGGCTGGTCTGCTAGGAGGACTCACTCTTCCAGTCACATTTGCTTACCCTTGCTTCATGTGGGTGCTCATAAAAAAGCCTACAAAGTTCAGTTTCAATTGGTATTTCCACTGGATATTGGGCTGGCTAGGCATTGCTTTTAGTTTGGCTTTCTCAATTGGAGGAATCTGGAGTTTAGTCAACAATGGACTAAAGTTGAAGTTCTTCAAACCCAGCTGATCCAAAAACATCAAGAACAGCACAAGAAAATATAGCAAGAATCAACCTGGAGTTGAATTTCTAAGCAAATGAGATTGTCCTGAAGGTGTGTATCGTGCTATGTACTCGAAATAATCGATGCCAGAAGTATCGGTAGTTAAAAGTTTGTACAATTTTCTATGGGGACATGGAAAATCCGGGTCGTTTATTTGTCGATGATGTTTCATGGTTTCGTTTCCAATCTGAAAATCTATTGTTAGTTCGAAAATGCATTCAATTACCAAAACATATGCAAACACGCATCATACAAAAATCTTTGAGCTAAAATTTGAACTTGTTATTTCCACGACGACGAAACGCTTACGATCTGTGCACACCTGTAATAAAACGAAAGTTAAACTTCTAAACTGCAGCAAAACACTAATTTCTCTTTGAACAGAGACTAATGGTGTCCAAAGAGTCCCATAATAGTTACTTATTCTAGATTCTTGTCTAAGGATGGCGGAGGAAGTTTCCATTCCATTAGTTGGTTCTTGGCTTTACGATTGCGTGCAGCGGTTGGAGCTTGCGAGCAGTGAGGCCGAGAGTGTCGACCTTGTCTTCTTCCCCGCCCCCGAGCTTCCACTCGAACTCTTGAACCAGCCTTCCAATGGTTGTGCAAGCTACAAGGCTTGCCTTGAGAGCACCTGCACACACCCTCTTCCCTCCTCCAAAGGCCATTGTTTTGTGCAGATCCATTGGGTCATATTTCTCATCAAGAAACCTCTCTGGCTTCCATTCCTCGGGGCTTTCCCAGTGTTCCTTGTCCATGTTGCAGCCGTAAATGTTCACGGCAATCTGAAAACGAAAAAATGAAACATCATCGGATATCGTCACATCAAATTACACCCGGGGGAGGGGAGTTTGCTTACCTCACTTCCTGCAGGAACAAAGAACCCTCCTAACTGGGTATCTTCATGAGCGTATCGCAATGGGACGATCGGGACTGGACTGTGCTTCCGAAGAGTTTCATGAAACACAGCAGTCAGATATGGAAGCTGCGCCAGGTTCTCTTCTTTAAGCTTAGCAGATCCACACACACTCAGTATGTGCTGATATAGATAGTCCTGTTAATGTCAAAAGTTTTCAAAGAATCATTACTCGTTTTGATGATTTTAAGAGTTGGAACAGACAGAAAACAACCGAAACGCTAGCGATGGTCGGAAATTGCCTGTCGTTTAGGATCTTTAGCGAGTTCATACATAGCCCATTCTGTCACAACCAAAGTAGTGTCCGAGGTTTCAATGATTGTCTCCCAGAGCAACATAGATATCTGATCCTCAGTCAGTGTTTTTGCTTCAGATAACAAGAACTCAGCATAGGAATTCGTTTCCTGTAATAGATTCAAGCCAAGTTAAAACAAACAACTCTCTACATCAGAGTAGATAAATAGGCCTATTTTCTATTCAAGCGAATGAAGAACTACCTCCCCTGCTGCAATCCGCTTCTTCGACTCCTCAATAAGGCTCTTCATCGTCACTCGCCTGCGATACTCCATCGACCTGATTTTATCCTCCACACCCTTGTTGGGAATCCATCTCAGATATGGGAAGAAATCCCTCCAATCGACTTCGATCGCACCCTCCATTGGATCAATCACTAAAATCCTGAACAGATCTTCTCTCAGTGCAGTAGTACCGAGCTCACTGACATATATCGACTCGATATCGCTCCCCAGTGTCTGCCAATCACAAAATTCTCTCTTTTTAGCTCCCACACTACACAAGTTTCATGTTTAAACATAACAACAGAGTCAACTCACTTCTTTAAGTGCAAGCCGAAAGAGTTCCAATTCGAAGATTTCTCGAAAATTAACAGATTGCGATGGAGAGTCCTTCGCATGAGCAAACAAGTGGCTGGAAATATTCTCTATCATGGTGTCTCTCCTCTGTCTGTGTCTCTTCTGAACAATGAAACAGAGCAGACAATCAGAATAATCCAAAATGAAAAGAAGGGAAAAAGAAAGAAATATAAAACAACCTGAGCATTAGCTCCCAAGACATTTGCTAATATGTATCTCTTAGCCATCTTGTGAAAATCATTGTAATCGCTCATGGCAACCATGCATTTATCAGAAGTCAAGATTGTGAGGGCTTTGCTTAGTTTTCTACTGGAAATGGACGAGTATCTCGTCACCATTGCCTGAAACATTAATTCACACATGAATTCACTAATCTTCGAAGATTCGACGACCAAACTTGTAATTTAACTCGAGACCATTTGTTTTCCGGCGAAAGTTGGCCTGAAAAGGGCTGTGATGGGTACCTCTTTGGCGACTTCGGCGGTGTTGAGAACAATCACAGTGGAAGCGCCGGTTCTTATGGAATAGACCGGGCCGTACTTCGCCGCCCACCGAGCAAACGTCTTATGAGGCTTCTTCTCCTTCAACTGCAGCAAATTCCCCAGCACCGGCAGCCCCGGAATCGCTGCAAAATCCCCAACAAAAAGAAAACCCATTAATAATCGAAGGCAGATTCAAACACCCATTTCACTATTTTCAAAAAACAGAGAGAAATGGGGAAGAAGCCGTTATCGTTACCCGGCACCGGAGGCAGAAGATTCCGGTGTCTCTTCCTCCAACCTCCGATCACAAACACCGAAAGCAACAGAGACACCCCACCCAGAACAGCCGCCGCCACGTACGGCGGCGCGTGAAGACTCTCGAGGAGCTGCTGGATGGAGGAGAGAGTATCAGAAGCGATCGCCATTTTGAACTCCGAGCTTCCGAATGCAGAGATTGAGATTTCCACAGGCGGAGATTCTTATAAAGAGGGCTGAATTGGAGAGTCCCTCACAATTGAGATCATCATTATTGGAGGGACAGAATTTTTGGTAAAATTACCAATCTATGAAGTTTTTTTTAATCAATTTAAATACCAGAAAAAAAAAACCTGTGCTGGCCACCTGCAATACATGCAAGGCCAGCAAATATGCCAAGTGAGTGAATTTGATTTCCTTTTTTAACCAAATTATATAATTTCTTAATACTTTGTGTTTATGAACTTCAATTTGAAGATTAAAAGAAAAGGTTGAAGAGGGTTTAAAAATTTGTTGGGTCCGTTTGGATGCAGTTGTTTTTTAGCGCTTTTGCTCTGATTCTTTTTGGGGTGTTTTCAGAAATTGGATGATCACTTTGGAAGTTGAAATATGTCCATCTGACCAAAACGACAAACGCAGAATCTGGACATCGCCTCTTTAACGGATTCACTATGTTCCTCTACAAAATTGTAAGAAAAATTAATTCAATACGTTCGGTTACATTTTTGGTCAACTTACTTTGATTATTGTCTCTCCAGTTTTTATTATCCGCTCCGGTCAAAAGGTTATAAATTCAAATCACCTTGTTAAAAAATAAAACTTTAAAAAGATACATTTTAATTTATTTTATTTTGGCTCTAACTGATTTTAATCTTTATATTATCATTATTTTTAATCTTTGTATTTTTAAAAGGACCATTTTAATTATTTTATTTTTTCTAACGTAATTTTACTCCCTAAATATTTTTTAATTTGTAGTAAAAAGTTCTTATTTTATATTAAATTTGTTTTAAAATTTTACAAATAGATATCAAATATCAAATATATTAATTTTAAAAAGTATAGAGAATATAAACAAAAATTGACAATTAGAAAACAAGCTAGGGTGACTTTTTTTTTTTTCCTTCTTCTTTAGAGGAAAGCAAGGTTGGCTTTGAAACTATATAAATAGAAAGTAGGGTCTTTTTAGGGCTTTAGAATGATATATATATATATATATATATATATATATATATATATATTTTATTGATTAACATTCATATGTAATCTTATTCAAAGAAAAAAAAAACATTCACATGTAATCAATAATCAATTTATTTTATTTTACAAAAAAATTAACACAACACATTTCAAAAAGCAATTCAATTTTTTTGTTAAAAGGATTAATAAAAAGATTAATGACAATTATTTAAGAATGAGATAAAACAATTTAAATGTTTGCATCAAGTCCAGATTCCCCAATAACTAGAAACGCTAAGATCAGACATTTTTTTTAGTTCAACCTAGTATATGTGCCTTAACTCGTTGAGATATGTTCTGGGTGGCGACATTTTTTCGAATTGAGTAGAGTGAGTGGAGATATAGCTTAACTTAAAAAAGAAAATTATATTAACTACCTTGTAAAGGAATGTTTGAGTCCTCAATTATATCTTCTAATTTTGAAGGTTAGCATTATATTAATTTTTTTTGGTAAGAAACAATAATTAAATATATTAAAAGAATTCATAATTTGTATATGTACTATTATATCATAGATTTTAATTTGCCCTAAAGTTATATTTCATACGCCTATAGTTTCTATAAATAAGATCAATATTAAGATTAAAATGGTACTATTTGAGTAGATTTTAGGTGCTGATAGATTATCGAACAATATAATTATTGAACTTTGTTTTAATTAACGAACGATAGATAAATACTATCGTTTAAAAAATATATATAATAAATAAATACTTCCTTAAAAATACTATATATAAATATGGAAAATTTTAAATAAATAATAAATATTTTAATTAAAATAAAGCATGATTCAAATATTATACGGTTGTATTAAGTTGAATTCATAATTTAACTAAATCATTTGGGTTCATCTTCTTTTTTTCTTCGACTAGAAAACTTAACTCAATCCACAAACATTCCTTATCTATGGTATGAATATAATATTTATATTTGTAGTTAAGTTAAATCTAGAAAATTAGGTTATGGGCTGTTAACATAATTTCTCTAATAATTGTCATCTAAACTTAATTATAGAGATATATGTTATGTCAAATCTTTTTTTTTTGTTTGTTTTTTTGGTGATAAGCTATGGCATGCAATATGCCACATATATTTTTTCTTTTGAAAAAACACACATGCAATATTATTTTAGAGATCAAACAAGATAGTTAAAATATAATAAGAAATATAAAATAAATTTAAAAATTCATAGCTATACCAAACTATCTTTATTTATTTATTTATTGAATAAAGTATGATTCAAACTTTAAAAAAATATATTTTAAAACTATCTCACTAATTTTAAATGTCAAATTTTTAAATATAATGTTGACGAAGAGAACATTTAATGAAATTAAGTTCAATATCAAACTTCCATATTTGTTGGACCCATGATTATTCTTAAAATCCCAAAACAACTCATATTTAATTTGAATCTAAATAAATTGGTTGATATATGATAACCACAATTATATAAACATAAGCATAAAAATATAATTTAGACAAGAAAATGAGAAGAAAACATAGTGGTTCATAGCAACATATATATCAGATTACATTACCAATGGGTTTGATGCTTAAATAAGTGAAATCATTAGAAATTTTGTCCCAATCAGGTGTACATAAAGATATTACTGAAGCTATGAACTAACAGGTTAAAATAGAGACGAGAGATCGATGATTTGCCGCTTGTTGCTTAGTAACCCGGGAACAATGGCGGAGGAGGCGATGAGTACTCGAAGCCAATATTTGGTGGAAGAACGATATCCTCTAGCGGAGGCGGTGGAGAGGCGACTGGCGGAGG